GGGAAAGAGGGATGATATAATATGCATTTATATTACATATTTATATTATATTTTTATTTATTAATCACAAATTAAATAAAATAATTTATACTCCTTGATGCCCCCACTAAAGTGGAAGTGGATTGAGATTCTGAAATGACTTGCAATATTATTAGGAAATCAAATATTAAATTATAATTTTAGAAAAATACTTAATTATATTTAACAAAATTAATTGATTAACTAGCTGAAAATTTAAAATACTAAAAAAATATTAGCTGAAAAGTTTGAGTTAATTTATTAAAGTATAAATTACCAAAAAAAACAATATAATTACCAAAAATATTTATTAAATTATAAGTATTTGATAAAATTACTTTGACTCTCAAAATACATTGGTCAAAGACAATATATTAGTCAAATACTTGTATGATGATTTTTATCTTTAAAAAGTTAATATGACAATTATTATATATATTTCCTCTGGACTAATTTAACTATTATCTTTTTAATAATTGTACGTCTTCTGAATAACGTGAAGATGAGGGGGGAAAGGAGTAAAGTTCAAGTACAGTACTTAATAAATAAAAAATAAACTTCAACAACCTAACATTTGATACGTGTTACTTTCCTCGACGATAACAGAATATTCTATGCTAAAAATCTCTTTTCGTCACTTATATTATTTAATATTTTTAATTTAATCTTATTTTAATTTTTGGTCTCAATTTGGTACTTAATAATTTAAATTAGTATAATTTGGGATTTCCGTCCAAATGATTTAGACAGAGTTAATTGTTGGTCACGTGGATGCGCACGTGAATGCCAAAATTTTTAAAAAAACCTGAAACCAGAACGGGCCATTCTGATAGTAGAACGGGCCGTTCTGGTTTCAGAACGGGCCGTTTTGAATTCAGAACGGCCCGTTCCAGAACGTCATGCTTTTTATTATTTTTTTTATTATATCTATATTAATAAATATATAATAAATAAAAAATACAATAAATTAATATTCATTTATGAATAAAACTAAAAAAAAAATCAAATAAGATAAGACCTTCTAAAATATTTCTTTGATTTGAATTTATCCAGTTCAAAATCTTGACTAAAATGTCGCAATGTATTTAAAAAATTGAAAATAAAATTCAGGGTTTAGGGGTACCTCCTCAAGAACAGGTTGCTATTATTGGGGTACATCGTCAATGACTTTAAGGAAAAACACTGTTTCGTTTTATCCTTGACTGTATAGTGTCAATTTGGTAGTAAGTAGTTCACTCCAGTTTGACTAACAATGAAATAAAACTTGTTATCATTGTCCTTAGTGATACACTGCATCATCCTTAATGATATACTATATAGCCCAAATGTTTAGCGATTGAAGTTATTAATCCTCATTAACAATATTATTAAATCTAGTGTTTGAAATACTTTGTATTTTCCCTAAAAAAAATGCTTTGTACTTTGGTTTTTTTTCACGAAATTCTGGACCAGAACGGCCCGTTCTGAAACCAGAATGGCCGTTCTAATTACACTGTTGATGTGTTAATTTTGGACCTGGAACGGCCCGTTCTAGGTGCAAATTTTACACATCAATAATGTAACCAGAACGGGCCGTTCTGGTTTCAGAACGGGCCGTTCTGGTTTCAGAACGGGCCGTTCTGGTTCCAGGTGTATTCAAGTATTTTTTGATTCACCTACGTGGCATCCACCTGGCATCCACGTGGCCACCAATTAACTCCGTTTAAATCATTTGGACAGAAGTCCCAAATTACAACAATTTTAATTATTAGGAACTAAATTGAAACAAAAAATTAAAGTGGGACTAAATTGAAAATATTAAATAATGTAAGGAACGAAAAGAGGTTTTTAACCAATATTCTAATACCCTTATCTTAGCAGTTCGTCATCACCATCTTAATTCTTATTATTACTATAAAATGAACGTACCATTCCAAAAATAATTATGTTGACCAACACGTGAATATGTTTGCATATAAGAAAATTGGATTGTTATTATTGTAGTTGTATATTCAACTTTTCTTTCATTTCATTTTTATCTTTTTTCCTTAATTTTTTCCTTAATTGTTATTATTGTAGTTGTATATTCAGCTTTTTTAAATACTTCCCTTAACCTTACCAAGCCATGTTTTCATAACTTTATCCCCAAAAATAGAAAACCTTGTTGAATATTCCTATATCTCAGAAGACGCTCAGATTTTTGAGAGCGTCGCTCCACTTTTAAGTCCGTACAATATATTCAAAAGACAAAGATCTACTCTGAGATCTATCTCTCAATTGGTTAGATCCAAACGACCTCATGAGAAAGAATACGTTCAATCTTTCAAGATGGAACAGTGTTCTTTGATGGCCACTTCTGAAGAACAATATGTCACCATCAAGATTCTCAGAGAACTCATCAGACATTGGAGAACCGATGGATATACTCATCTTCATTATGGAGCCATCCGATTGATGCTCACACTTCATGGAAGACGTGGGACTTCCTGTCTCTGCAAGGATTTCCTTGCTAGACACCAGCTACCTCCATTATGAAAATGTGGTGATCGGCACAGTCCTAACCACACTTCATGCTGAGAGTGTTGTGCTAACATTATTTTCCAACTATAATGTTAGTTTGAGAGACCATTAGATGTCGCTTAAAAGTTAGTTCTACTTCTAAAATCACGGTGATTCCATGTAAAAAAAAAAGTAATTACTGTATTTGTTATTTTGCTTTTATCATTAAAAAATAATTAATTATTTCAATTTAAATAATGTCCCTCCAAATACATATCTAATTGTATGGTGACTTAAATCGTTAGATAAATATTCTTGAGGTAAGGTTATTAATTTGACCTAAAATAGATACACTAAAAAATATCAAGTATTTATATATTGTTTTAAATGATTATTAGATGATATGTATTTAATTTTTTTTATTTACAAGAAAATACACTTGATTACATGTTATATAAAATTAATTAGAGATAACATGATCTAAACCACCCAATAATTTTTTTCCACTTGAAGTATATTATAATAAAAATATATATGTACAATTGTGAAGTTTGAGACATACATAAATATCAAATTTAGATTGAAACTAGTGTCATGAGATCCAAGACCCTTTACCAATAACTATCCTATTTAATAACATCTATTTAGGACATAAAAGATATTTGTTTCAAGGTATAATACCGTATTCTTGAAAATTTTAATCCCAAAAATATTATACTTAGACATATTATTTCCATTAACATGTTCGATTATTAACTTCACAAAATAAATACGTTTTATTTAATGAAAAAAAGAAAGTGATCGAGTGAAGAAATATATGAAATAATAAAGTAGGTAGAAATAGATACCAACAAAAAAAACAGTAACTTCCATATTTTATGAGAATGTTTATATTCTCATGTATAAAAGATGTTTGAAAATATCTTTTTATATCCTTTCTAATAAAATATATCGAGAGAAAAATATGTAGTTATAATTTTCAATAGAAATTAATTACTGCTTTGAGCATAAATATTTTGTATTAATAAAATATGTTGAAAGAAAAATATGTAATCATAATTTTTAATAAAAATTAATTACTGCTTTAAACATAAAAGTTTTGTATTAATATATATATATCATGTTAAAAAGAATCTTTCTAACAAATATGAAATATATATTTTCGCCTTTATATTCTTAATAAGAAAGAAGGTTATGTAAAACAAGCATCCCCTTAACGTAAGTTTCTTCATACGAATTTAGGCAGATAAAATAGGGTGGATTGGACTTGGCTCAATCTCTAACAAATTTTTATTAAATCTTTTATTACTTGTATCAATTTTTTTTCTATATTTTTTCTCTGTCTCTAATATAAATTTGTCTATACAACCCAAAACTAAAATAAAAAAAGTCAAAATATGGTCTTTGACTACGGATCGTTTGTTTAAATTCTCTAAAAAAAACTTTTTAATGAAAAGAAACCTTTTTTTTTTTTTGTATTTATCTAAACTGCTTATAAAAAATATATATTTGTTTAAAAAAAAAACCTCACCTACTTCTTAAAAAAATTATTTTTTAAAAAACACTATTTTATTATATATATATATATATATATATTTTTTTTTTCAATTTTAATTTAAACAAACTGATATTATATATCAAAGCTTCAACAAATCTTCACGAATAATCCAGTTATATTCAATTTTTTTTTTCCAAAATTAAAAAACTGAACCGCATGTCACACAGTGATGGATCGAAAATGATAAACACAAAATAATGTTAAACCGTCCGATAAATTCTCCAAAAATAGTGTAGATTGAGCATTTTCCTAAAGAAAAATATTGAATTAATATTGTTGCGAGGCAAGGGGCGAAGAAAGAAAGATAGGTAGGAAACAGAACTGTGATTAGGCACTATGGCACTGACTGAAACAAGTCCATAGGATCATGATTACACCTCTGACTCAACTCATGAAGCAGACCAAAACTCCCACAAAATTTTTCTTTGAGTATTTTCCCATATTGGCAGGCCCAGCAACATTGGCGGGGATCGTGATCCCAAGGAATCTACATGTCATGTCTCTCTCAATCCGCACCGTTTATAGTTAACCCGTCAACTCCATCTTTCAAACGCAAATCATAGTAACAGTGCATGGTGTTGTAGTGAGTGTCCACAGCATAAGGTGGTGGATTGCCAGAGCACAAAACAAGAGGAAACAAAACTCAACACAACACACGTACAGCATCAACCACAAACCACGACTAGTTCATGCCACTTCGCTGTAAAGTGCCTTCAACACAACAACAACAACAACAACGTAGCAGCGTTGACCCTTAAATTCAACCATCCTCAAGTCACGGTTCACCTCCACTTTCATGCCCTCATCAATCAATGTTATGTCTTTTACTCTCTCTTTCTCTTTCTCTTTCTTTGTGTCTATCTATTCTATCTATCTGTCACTGTGTTGTGTTATGTGTTATGTCATATGTGTTATGTGTTGTGTTGTGTTGTGTTCTCTCTCTCCCTCCCTTATCCTAGTCTTTTGTATTGATTGCTTTGGTGGGTCTATTTATTTTTCTTTCTAACCAAATGGGTTGTTAATTATTTCTCAATTGGCTTCTATTCTCACCACCAAGCATTCTCTTCCTTTCACCACACGGTACTCTTGTTTTCTTTTCCTTTTCCCATGTCATCTTCTGCTTTGTCTTGAACCTCTCGTCTCTCGTGCGTTCACACTTGTGAAACCTTTCCTTTTTTGGTTTGTTTGAGAGAAAAACTATGATGGCATTGGAGTGTAGTTTCCACTTCCTAAATGGGGTTTACATGGTGCTCTTGTTTTGCCTTGGCATTGTCCTTGTGAGTTCGGTTAACGAAGAGGGTTTGAGTCTTTTGGGGTTCAAGGCTTCTCTTCATGACCCAAATAACAATCTCTATAACTGGGATTCTTCTAATTTGACTCCTTGCAATTGGACTGGTGTGTTTTGCACGGGTTCAGTGGTGACTGCTGTGAAACTTTACCAACTTAATCTCTCTGGTACTTTGGCTCCCACCATCTGTGATCTTCCAAACCTTCTTGAGTTGAATTTGTCAAAGAATTTCATCTCTGGTCCCATTCCCGATGGATTTGTTGACTGCGGTGGTTTGGAGATTTTGGACCTTTGCACAAATAGGCTTCACGGACCCCTTCTGACTACCCCTATTTGGAAAATCACTACACTTAGGAAGCTTTACCTGTGTGAAAACTACATGTATGATGAAGTGCCAGTGGAGCTTGGGAATTTGGCATCACTTGAGGAACTGGTCATATATAGCAATAATTTAACTGGAAGAATTCCCTCATCAATAAGAAAGTTGAAGCAGCTTAGAGTTGTAAGGGCAGGTCTGAATGCCCTCTCAGGGCCAATACCTGCTGAAATTAGTGAGTGTGAGAGCTTGGAGATATTGGGGTTGGCACAGAATCAGCTAGAAGGTTCCATTCCAAGGGAGCTACAAAGGCTTCAGAATCTCACCACTATACTTCTATGGCAAAACTCTTTATATGGGGAGATTCCTCCTGAGATTGGAAACATTAGCAGCTTGGAACTGCTTGCTTTGCACCAAAATTCACTAAGTGGTTCTGTCCCCAGGGAACTGGGGAAGCTATCCCAGTTGAAGAGGTTGTACATGTACACCAATCAGTTGAATGGAACAATTCCTTCAGAGCTAGGGAACTGCACAAATGCTGTTGAGATAGACCTCTCTGAAAACCGTTTGATTGGGATCATTCCCAAGGAGTTGGGGATGATATCTAATCTTAGCTTGCTTCATCTGTTTGAAAACAATCTTCAAGGTCATATTCCACGGGAGCTTGGTCAGTTGAGTCTGCTAAAAAATTTAGACCTGTCACTTAATAACTTGACAGGTACAATTCCACTGGAGTTTCAAAACCTTACATACATGGAGGATTTGCAGCTATTTGACAATCAACTTGAGGGTGTGATTCCTCCACATCTTGGAGCTGTTAGAAACCTTACTATTCTTGATATATCTGCAAACAACCTTGTTGGTATGATACCTTCCCATCTTTGTGAATATCAGAAGCTGCAATTCCTGAGCCTTGGGTCAAATATGTTGTTTGGAAATATTCCTGATAGCCTCAAAACTTGCAAATCTCTTGTGCAGCTTATGCTGGGGGACAACCTGTTGACAGGAAGCCTACCTGTTGAATTGTATGAACTGCACAATCTCACTGCACTTGAACTCTTTCAGAACCGATTTTCGGGGATAATAAACCCGGGAATAGGCCAACTCAGGAATCTAGAGAGGCTTCTCTTGTCAGCTAACTACTTTGAAGGCTATCTCCCTCCTGAGATTGGAAATTTGGCACAACTTGTCACATTCAATGTTTCCTCTAACCGTTTTAGTGGAAGTATTCCTCACGAGTTGGGAAAATGTGGTAGACTGCAGAGGCTTGATCTTAGCAGAAACCACTTCACTGGCATGCTTCCAAATGAAATTGGCAACCTGGTGAACTTGGAGCTGTTGAAAGTTTCTGATAATATGCTCTCAGGAGAAATACCAGGCACTTTGGGGAACCTTATTAGGCTCACAGACCTGGAACTAGGTGGAAACCGGTTTTCAGGAAACATCTCTTTTCACTTGGGAAAACTAATGGCTCTTCAGATTGCACTTAACCTGAGCCACAACAAACTTTCTGGCTCAATTCCTGATAGCCTTGGGAACTTGCAAATGCTAGAGTCCCTTTATCTAAATGACAATCAACTTGTTGGTGAGATTCCTGCATCAATTGGTGACCTTCTTAGTCTTGTAGTATGCAATGTATCTAACAACAAGCTGGTAGGGACTGTTCCAGACACCACTACATTTAGAAAGATGGATTTCACAAACTTTGCTGGAAACAACGGGTTGTGCCGTGTTGGCACTAATCATTGCCATCCATCTGTATCTCCCTTTCATTCTGCAAAACATAGCTGGATCAGAGATGGTTCATCAAGGGAAAAGATAGTGAGCATTGTTTCTGGGGTGGTTGGACTAGTTTCTCTAATTTTCATAGTGTGCATATGTATGGCCATGAGGCGCCGTAGCCATGCTGCTTTTGTTTCACTTGAGGGGCAAACAAAGACTCATGTCTTGGATAGCTATTACTTTCCGAAAGAAGGCTTTACATACCAGGATCTCTTGGAAGCCACTGGCAATTTTTCAGAAGATGCAGTTCTAGGAAGAGGAGCTTGTGGCACTGTTTACAAAGCTGTTATGAGTGATGGTGAAGTGATTGCTGTTAAGAAGCTGAATTCACGTGGAGAAGGAGCAAATAATGTTGATAGAAGCTTCCTTGCTGAGATTTCAACTCTTGGAAAGATCAGGCACAGGAACATTGTGAAGCTGTATGGATTTTGCTACCATGAGGATTCCAATCTTCTCTTATATGAATACATGGAAAATGGAAGCCTTGGGGAACAACTTCATTCAAGTGCAACCACTTGTGCATTGGATTGGGGTAGTCGGTATAAAATTGCTCTTGGAGCAGCTGAAGGGTTATGCTATCTTCACTATGATTGCAAACCTCAAATCATCCATCGTGATATAAAGTCAAACAACATATTACTTGATGAGGTGTTTCAGGCTCACGTTGGAGACTTTGGCTTGGCTAAGTTGATTGATTTTTCGTACTCAAAATCCATGTCTGCTGTGGCAGGTTCATATGGCTACATTGCCCCAGGTAAGAATAAGTTCACTACATTGGTGCAGTCATTGTAGTAGTTTTACTTACTAGAATAAGTGAGTCCTATTTTAATCTTTTGTTTTTATTTACTTAAAAATATTGATTTTCACCGGATATGACAATCTTTAGAGGAAAAAAATAATTAAAATGCATAGCACATTAAGAGATGTTCCAAGTAAAAATGTTACTATTTACTAATCCCCATTTGTTTAATGTAAATTATCAGAAGTTGATATTAATAGTGAGCTAATTGCTAACATGTGATATTTTTACCAAGGTCATTTTAATCCTTCTGTTTTTCTTATGGTCGGTTATTTTATTTTATTTTATTTTCAGAATATGCTTACACCATGAAGGTGACTGAGAAGTGTGACATCTATAGCTTTGGGGTAGTTTTGTTGGAACTAGTTACTGGGAGGTCACCTGTTCAACCTTTGGAACAAGGTGGTGATTTAGTGACTTGTGTGAGAAGAGCAATTCAAGCATCAGTTCCCACATCTGAATTATTTGACAAAAGATTGAATCTGAGTGCACAAAAGACAGTGGAAGAAATGTCTCTTATTCTCAAAATTGCCCTGTTCTGCACCAGCACATCTCCTCTTAATAGGCCTACAATGAGAGAGGTCATTGCAATGTTGATTGATGCTAGGGAATATGTCAGCAACTCACCAACCTCACCTACATCAGAATCTCCATTGGATGAGGATGATGCCATTTCTTCCAAAGGTTAGAAAACTGAAATGTTCATAGTTAAAGGATTAATTCATCTTATGCATTTTGGTACATATATGTGGTAAGTAAGCTATTGAAGTTTATATTCAATAACATTATTTAGAATTTTAGTTTCCTCATAGGCTGTTTCATATTTTTGTGTGATATTACTCTTCTGTTTGCAATCTGCTAATCTACTACTTCACCTTGAACTGTTGAGTACTGAAGGTTAAAGCATTTCTTTGATAGATATCATTCATTTAGTTTATACAGTATAGTACAAATACACAAACAATAATTTACTTTAAAAGAAGCCAATAACACCCCCTCTCCCAAACACTTCTTGAGTTTGTTTAGATAAAACTTATCCAGAAGTACTTTCAGGAAAGAAAAATAAGAAGGAAAATCAAAATAAGATTATTTATAAGTTAAAACTAGCATATGCATGAGTTAAAAATAAAATTTTGGAAAAACTAATAGGATAAAACTTTTACAAAATAGTTCATGTAGAAGCTAATTTTACCTTATGGAAAAACTTATTTCATTTTTTTTCTTATTTTCCTCTCCTAAAGATGTTTTTGGAGAAATTTATCCAAACATGCCACTCTTTTATTGCAAAGTTCCTCTAATGATCAATGTATTGATATTTAGACAACTAATTGGCTTGTCATGGTTTGTGCAGATAGTGGTCTTGAGTTGTAAATTATAAGCCTCACTCCTTCCTCCATGGAGAAAGTTTTTGGTACAACTTCATTTCTACAAGTTTGAATCTTGGACAATCATGTCCCCTGCCTCAACCGAATAAGTAGCTTTATCTAAAAGAATCTCACAATCAATTTGAGAGAAACAAATGTGCATTAACCCAACAATTTAAAGCTACTCTAATCTATTATACCTTTAGATATACGATGATTCTATTAACATAACAAACCTCAATCTTGCTATGATAGCGAGTTGAACATACAAAGATCGTCCAAAATAGGTTCATTGTGCTTCGAATACTAATGATGACTATCTTTGTTTATGATTTTACACGATTTGTTCAAATTTTAATTGTAAAGTTCTTGCTACGCCTTCTTGTCTTCTCAGTAGCCTTGTAGAGATTTTAATTTGTAACATTGAAGCTATTTAATGCCATATGTACTACGTATATTCCTTTTGGGAGTAATTAACCGGAAAACTTGGTTGCCAATTCTTTTTAGCATGTGGGTGTTTAAATTTCAAATGACATATAATGTGAAAATTGTGTCTATCTCTTCATACAAATTAAATAGGTGGAAACATATTAAAATTTGTGTACATTAAGATAAAAGAGATATTTTTAAAAAAATAATTACAAAATTTTGTCAAGAAAATCTATTATAATTTCGAGGGCGTGAAACGAATAGAAATAAGGAATTGAAGATGGAAAAGTGAAGAAATGGAACATCATAACACTTGTTTTTCACCTTATTTAGAACTATGTCATAAGAGCATTGAAACGAGTCATAGATATGTTACCGATGCTATATTATAAATTAAAATATATAATTTGAAGAGTAAAATTCTCATTTATTTATTTTTTTCACCTTTTTAACTAGAAATTTTTAATAATTTCTCTTTAAGAAATGTATTTCACATATACTCACACAGGTGGCCAAAAATTTTATTTCAATCATTTTAAATTACTCTCATTTTATTTTTATTTGTATATTTAACACATTCTTAATGTTTACCATTTCAATTTATCTTATTTTATCTCTATTCCTAAGTTGAATTTTAGTAATTTATTATAAAATTGTGAATCTTATTACATAATTTAAATTTTTAATATGAATATAAAATATATTATATTATAAATTTTAATTATATAAAAATAACTTTTATTTTATATAATGCACAAACCAAAATACTATTATTTCAAGTATAATAAAATTTATATATTAAAAAATATTTATCATAAAATTTAATTGTATAAAAAGAAACATGTATATTATTATATTAAATACTTAGTTTTAGAAAGCATATATACAAAACCATCTATTGTTATTCGATCTTAAAGTACACAGTCGTTTATGTGCCATGTGAAATTTATTTTGCATGTGGGTTGTATTTTATACAGCTGGTACCTGTAACAGATGTCATTTAACCCACTAACTATCTTGTTTAAGCCATCTTTCTTTCCTTTTAATAATTACTCTTCAACTTTCAACAATCTTTTATGTACTTTTCTATTTTATATCACATCACACTAGTGACACTACACATAGTTAAAATTGTTGTTTCTTTCATAGTGAATAGTTTATTTTAGTAGGCAAATATGTAATTTTAATAGGTAAAGTATGTCATTTAAGTTTAACCCACTCATAATTTTATAATAAATTATGTATGTTTGAATTATTAATTTTCGTATAAGTTAAAATCAGTTGTATTACCTGTACCCATCATTTAAATTTATAATAAATCTATTAATCAAAATGAGATCCAATCTTTAATTTAGACATGAAGTTATAACTAAAATATTATTTTATCTTATTTAATAGAAAGAAATAAGAAGAGTTGACGTAAGTGACGAAAAATTCAGATTGTTTAATCAAGTGATTAGAGATTAAATCCTAATTCTTATAAATGTAAAAAACTCAAATTAGAAAGAAATACTCACTTATTTAATATTTATCAAATTTTGGGAGATTAATCTTCATATTTAATGAAGAAGAACTCCTTAGTAATGATATTCAGAAGAAAAAAAATATAATAGGAATCGGAAGCAATATATGATAAAATGCGACTTTATAATTGGGTAAACTCGTGGTACGTAGTTGACGGTGCTATGATACTTACAAATATATATAATCCATGCCCTAATTCATTTGAAGTATGAGGATGGGACTATAATGTTCAAATTTCCAACGTAAACATATTCATAGCATCATGATCATTAATTACCACCCTTTTCGTTTTCGATAATGTTATCTATATCTTGGTCACACCTAAAGGATATTTTAAGCATTGTGAGCTATTAAAGCCTCTCAGCCACAAAGATTGGCAAGACATGATGATGACCTCCTTAAGGATCTTTACTTCGTGTGTGTGTGTGTGACAACCACTGTGTGGAGGTTTTGAAACATGAGGACCTCCTTGAGGATTAACTTCGTGTGTGTCAACTGTCAACCACCGTGGATGTTTCATATTTATTTATTTTTTTAATCTCTTTTAGTTTCTATAAATTAAATTAAGATAGATCTTTTAAATTTTTATATTTGTAATTTTTTAATTCTTTTAGTCGTTTAAATGAATGATTTTGTATATTATTTTAAATTTCAATTGTCGTGACCACATAATTCAATTATATTGGATTATTTCAAGAGTAAGTCTATCTAGATTTATTTTGTTCTATAACTCATGTTCTACGTCAAATTTTAACAATCCAATCGTTGAATTTAAAGTTCATAATGCATATATCAAGTCTATAAATTTTAACAAAATTTGAAAACTATTTGATACTTTATTTCATTAATTTAAATCAATATATAAAATATTTTTATGATTATCCGTCAATTTGAATTAATGAAATGAAGTATTAAATAATTTTAAATTTTTTTAAAAATTTGCATACTTAATTTATGTATTAAAAATTTAAATTCAACAGTTAGATTAATGAAATTTGATATAGAATATGAATTACTGAACAAAATAAGTCTACATAGACTTTCTGAAGTAAACAAATCCCTCCTTATATATATATTCAATCTTTATTTTCACAATTGATATACGTTTTAATCAAATATATTTATATAAAAAGGTACAATAATAAATATATATTATTTATTTCGATCCTTGTATCGTGCATGTACGTTTATAATTTTAAGATGTTATTTCATAATTTACATCAATTCTTTTATATATATATATAAATAAATAAATAAATAAGCATAATTCACATCAATTGCTATAATTAAGTTTAATTTTAATTTATATTAATTAAATTTATCATGATTATTTCATGATTTAAATTGAATTATAATCTTTAATTTATTTCATGATGGAATAAAATTGAATAAAATTGTTATTGGACACAAATTATTATACAGTTTTGTAATATATGTGTTATATGATATTTTCTACCTGCATTGGTATTATATTCAACTATTATTTGGATAATATATATAATTTTTAGACCTAAATAGACTATGCTAAATTGTGTTGAGTTTTAAAGTTGAATGAATGACTATGTTGGTGGATTAACATTGCGCAATTGATTGATTTATAATTGTGTTAACTGACTATCATTGTCACAACAAAATTCAATGTGTATTTCAATTTCTCTAATTATTAAATTATATGATTGTTAGTTTATAGGTACATTGAAATTTATGGATTATTTAAAGATATTAGTTAATTTAGTTGGTGCATATTTTGTTACCAAATAATGTTTATCAAATCTTGATTATTGTGAGAATCATAAAGTTTCTAAGATTATATTAGTTGAGAACTTAAAAAATAAAAATTATTTGTCTAGTGATTCTTATGATTTTAATTAATTATTGATTAGTCATATCATCTTTAATTAATTGAAATCAAATATTTTATTACTTAAATCACATAAAGAATTATACATAATATTGTGATTGATTATGCTTAAATATAATAAGTTGTATCCTGCATGAATTATTGTTATGTTTGTATAATTAATTAGGATAAAATATCAAATTATATTTCTCAATTTACCCATAGAAATTAAGAAAAGGAACATAATTTGATAGCTTTGATATAAAGTTATGTGATGAACCAAATTGAGTAAAACTTTAGCTCATAGACAAGTTTTATGTTCTTAAATTTGTACATAATTTACATCAATATTATATTATGAATAATGATCAGTCTTATTTAAACTTTGTAATTATGCAATCCATAAATGTTTTTAATGTAAATTATGATAAAGGATTCATAAATTAATATATGAATTACATGTTTGGGAATAATCATAGTTAGAGATGTCAAATGGGTCGAGTTGGCCCAGCCCAGCCTAAGCTACACAAACCAAATATTATTTTAAGCTAGACTGGCCAGGCTTGTATTCTTTTCGGATTGCCACTTTTTGGCTCAACCTGGTTCATGTCAAGCGATCGAGCCAAATTGACCTAATTAAAAAGAAATTTAAAAAAATTAAATGTAATTTTTTACAATTAAAAATTATAATATGATTAATTAATACTTATACTAATTATAGATAACCAGTCAGCCAATAACAATCATATTGTCTTGGATAGTTACAAATGTTTATACATTAGAAGTCAAACATATATATTCTACTTGGAATAATAGTTAACACATTATTTAATTTTTCATATTTAGTTAAAAACACTTTATTGTGATTAACTGTTGAAGTGTTTCTACAATTGGGTTTAAAATTAGGATTTAACACTTTATTCATTGCCCAAATTCCTTCAAATTCAGCATAATTATATGGAAGATCATGCTTGATAATATACTTAGCAACTACATCTCTATAAGTCTTGGATCAAATTTCACTATTTCAGTAAACTAGTTTTGTTATCCAACATGACCCTAATAGTTTGGTACTTACGAAATTCAAGACATTTAATAATATTACATTTTAAATAATTATTACTGAAATAAGAGCAAAGAAACTCTCACAATGGTTAACTTTAAATTTAAGCTTGTAACTACAGCTTTATAAGCAAACACAAAAGCGTGAAAGACTATTACTATTATTATATTATATTTATAATACATTATAAATTTATAGATTGATAATGATAGTAATTCAAATTATTTTTCTTATTAGTTTAATGAGCAAACTCATAAACTTGTAGGCTAGTCCAACCTGAGCCTATTTGATTTGTTGGACTCAGCAGGTTGGACAAAAATAGTCTAATTCTATTTAAACCATCCTTTTTAAGGCTTAACATGGTCTTATTTATGGGTTGGCCTATCGAGTCGAACCCAAATTGATAGCTTTAGCCATAACATCCTAGACAATGTAACAAGAATTATTTCACAAAGAAGAACAAATTAATTAAGGCTATGGATTAAATGTCATGATAGGATATTTCAATACTCATAAGCA